GTGGGTGGCATTTGGTGGCGGGTGTTGGTGGCAGGTGGGTGGTGAGTGATGGTGGTAGGTGATGGTGGGGGGTGGGTGGTGGTGGTGGAAGATGGTGGTGGAAAATGGTGGCGGGTGGTAGCTAGTGTTTGGTGGTAAAAAAAAAAAAACTTAAAACTTAAAACGGAAACACATTTTTTGTGTTTTCATTTTTTAGCTAAATTTATAAACTGAGACCACTGATTTATTAATCAAAAATTTTACCAAACAAGTTTTTATTTGAGTTTTTTAAATTTTTGTAAATTTAAACTAAAAACTGAAAACGTAAGTGTTACCAAACGGCACCTAAGTGTTACCAAACGGCACCTTAGTATTTCTTTTTTTTATTTGAATTCAAAGATCCCATTAAAGTATAAGTTATACAAAAAAGTAGTCACTTACATATCTAGATTTAATTTTTAAGGTATAAAAATGGGCTAATCCAAATGTAAAATTACACATTTAAGCAATCCACACTATAAAAGTTTTGAATTTTCCCTCCGTCTGGAACAAATCTTACGAACAAGAATGTAACACTCCAATTTAACATACTAAAAAACTCTTTAATGTACTTTTTTCAAGCGTAATAATGTAACACTCCAAACTTTTTTCAAATATAACAATTCAATGTAGCACACACAAAAAAACTCGTTAGTGTACTTTTTCCAAATGTAAAACTCCAATCAATGTAATCTCAAACGTAATACTCCAATGTAACACACATAAAAATACTAAAAAACTATTTAGTGTATTTTTTCTAAATGTAACACTCACAGTTTTAGATTATATATTTACCCAAAACTTACTAATAAATTTTTGTACTCTTCTTAGAATGGTTTAAAGAATCTCACATCTTTTTTTTTGGAGTATCATATTGGAATATTATGTTTGGAAAAGTACATTAAAAATTTTTTTGTGTGTTACATTAGAGTGTTCCACTGAAGAGTTTTTTTGGAGTGTTACTTTGGAATGTCATGTATAAATATATACTAATAAGTTTTTTTGAAGTGTTACATTAGAGTGTTAGGTTGGAGTGTTACATTAAGTTGTTACAAATTGAAATTATACATTTACTCAAAACTTACTAAAGTTTTTGTACATCTTTTGGAATATTTGAAGAATCACACATCCTTTTGGAATATTTGAAAAATCTCATATTTCAAGTCATTTTTGTACTCTTGAAATTTTAAAAAAATTTACACTTCAAGTCATTCCAAATAAAAAAGATTTTCATATAAAAATTTATTCCAAATTTGATTCTCATCGGTTGTGTATCTTACATTTTTAATTACCCCCTCCCCCCCCTAAAAAAAAAAAGAACATAACAGTAATAAGGGTATAATTGTAAAGCTTGTTTTTAAATAATATATTAAATCTACATTTCTAAAATTAATAGGACTAATTGATTTAAAAAAACTTTTGAGACTAATCAGATCACCATTTCTTAAAATGAAATTTATAAATAAATTTTTCTATAATAATATATGGTTCTATGTGAGAACCATTTTAGCAAAAAAAATTTTGCCCTCATTGCAACTATCTATTGCAAAAAATTTCATTCTTACAAGTAAATACTCAATGCCCAAGTAGGTTTACAAAGTTGATCATGATATGATTACGTATTTTTTCGGTTTTCTGAGGCTTGTAGCGGTGTTTGGCAACAATTTTTTTTGGGTTTTTTTTTATTTTTTCCACTAAAAGACAGTTTTTGCTGAACTAAAAAAAAAACAAATCCAAACAAAATATCACATCAAACCCATAATCATTTCACTTTTTCTCTCACAAACATCACATCCAACCACAAAAAAACTTAACTATCTTCCCAAACACAAAAAAAAAATTTCTCCAATAATATCCTATAACTAAAAAAACCTACATAAAAATCCACTTCCCAAGCACCCACACAAAGGATTTCAACTTCAATCATATTAGTCATTTTTTGCTAACTAAAAGAGATAATAGTATAATTTTTATTTTAGTTAGCTTCCGTTTGGGAAGTGGATTGACTTTTTGACTTTTTTGGTTATTTTAGCCTGAGTTAAAAAGTTTGGTTTAGGAATAGTTTTTTGGCTTTTTGACTTTTTTTGTGAGAAAAATGTATAATGATTATGGGTTGGATGTGATGTTTTGTTTGTTGTGGCTAAAATAGCCTACTTTATTTTTTGTGGCTAAAATAATCAAAAAAGTCTGAAAATTTTCTTCCCAAACGGTGCCTAAGTGACTTTACCTTATAACTAATTTAAGGCTACTCTCTATGCCACATTAGCATTATATAGGGAGGAAAAACAGAGAAAGTGTTCCTTGGAGTTTTGAACAAGTCTCATTAGAGAGTAAATTGAAATTGCTCTTATCTAAAAGGATTTTCAAAATTAATAGGATTAATTAGTTTATAAAAAAATTATTGGAACTAATTAGATTACCATTTCTTAAAATAGAATTTATAGGTAAATTTTCCTATAATAATATATGGTTCTATGTAAGAACCATTTTACCAAATTTTCTTTTGCCGGAGTTACAACTATCTATTGCAAAAAATTCCATACCCTAGTAGGTTTACAAAATTGATCACGATATGATCACCTGTTTTCTTAGTCTTCTCAGACTTTGCAATTTATTATGTTTATCCTCTCAAAATTTGAAAACTTTTTACGTACACACAAACAAAGGGTTTCAACTTCAATAATATTAGTCATTTTTTGCTAACTAAAAGAAATAACAAGTATAATTTTTATTTTATTTAGTGACTTTACATTATAATTTATTTAACGCTACTCTCTCTATGCTACATTAGCATTGGAGGGAAAACAGAGAAAGCGTTCCTTGGTGTTTTGAACAAGTCTCATTAGAGAGTCAATTGAAATTGCTCTTATCCAAAAGGTCTAGCGAAAAAAGAAAAAGTAGAGAAAAAAAAAAAAAAAAGGCTTAAAAGGCCCAATAAAATATAAACCTCAAAGTTCTGTCAATAACAAAAATAGTAAAATACATCTTAATTAGTCAAATACATATATGCAAGAAAAATGAATCTTTAAAATAAAAAGATTTTTTTTTTTGTTTGAAACAAAATAAAAAATACTCTAAGGTGTCATCACTGTATCTGTGGACCCAAACTGCGAGGTAGCCAGTTACCGATCTGATTTAACCCAACCCAAAAAGAGAGACCCACCACAGAAGACCAATGGAGTTTAATCACACACCATAAATATTTAAAATAAAAAGATTTACAACCTAAAAAAAATGCAAATTACTAAATTAATATTTAAATAGAAATTAATTAATTTAAATTTTAATAAAAACATTCAATATTATTTTGATTAAGGTCTCATTTTCAAACAAACTATTTTTGTAATTTTTTGAATTTTTATAAAAAAATATGTAAAAAATAAAAATAATAATATAATAATTTATAATTTTTTTTATTTATTTTTTAACTAAAATATATAATTGACACATGAGAGTAGGCCCAACAAATATTGGCCGACACACCCTCAAGAAGCTGGCTTACAATACACGACTAGGTGGAGAAGCACAATGAAAGAAAAAGTAAATCCACACACTTCACAGCATGCATGCTTAATCATGAAGGAATATTAACGGATGTAAGTTCACTTTTTAACTTTGTAATTATTTTAATTTAAGATTAAAAATTTTTATTTAGAATGAATTTTTTAAATTTTTATGAGATAAAAAAAATAATAATTAGAGTTAGTTTAAGATAACTTATCAAAGTTAAAAAGTCAAAAAAATATTAAAAAAATCAAAAAATCTATGCTATATGAGGGAAGCTTACAGGGGAAACCTAGAGGATAAAATTATTATTTTGCCTTTTGAATTTAATTACAAAAAAGTCAAAAAGTTAAAAATCAAAAAATTAACAAGAGTATAATGGTAATTTTAATTTTACTACGATATTTTATTATACTTCTTTTCATAAAAAATCAAAATATTATTTCAAATATACATCTTTTTTTTTTTACTTTTTTAACAAAAAGGTCAAAAAGTGTATTTATATAGCACATCCCAAACAATATGACATTTTTTCTTATTAACTTTATAACCTATTTTGGGGTGATTTGAAATAATTTAAATAAGTGTACTTTTTGACTTTTTATAAAAAAAAAATATGTAAAAAAGTCGAGAAAGTAAGTAAAAAAAACAGAGAAGAGATGTTAATAGATGTGACCTAAATAAGTAAATTTATGTAAAAAAAAATACACTTTATTAGTGCATGCCAAACACCTACTTTGTAATTTATTTTTATTTTTTTTTTTGACTATTTTACTCCAAAAAAAAATTTATGTCAAACATATAACTGAAACAGAATAAAATAGAATGAAATGATTACTTAATAAAAAAATATGAGAATTTTAAACTCTTCCTCCAAGACAGTCACACAATTATAAAATTGAAAAAAAGCTTGAGACGCCTAATTTGAGAACCCCTCCGACCCTTAAATGTGTGATTGATCCATTTTCTTTTCTTTTTTTTCCCTCGCATAGAATAACGTGGGAGTTGTGGGGGGTTATACGACCACATAGAATAACGTGGGAGTTGTGGGGGGTGATACGACCCTTAAATGTGTGATTGATCCATTTTCTTTTCCTTTTTTTTTTTTCGTCACATGGAATGATGTAAGAGTTGTAAGGGTGATATTTTTGTGGTGGCCACAATCATTGCTCCATAAAATTGTACAAAAATGCCTCATACACCCACTGAGGATCGGCCCAGTGAGGTGGCACTCTATTGTTGGCCAAAAAAAAATTATTTTTTTTTTCTTTTTTTTTTAAAGTTTCAACCAGTGGAGACGCGACATCTCACTGGGGTGCGACCCCACTGGGGGTATGCAACACTGCTGAAAATTGTATACAAAATTCTACAATTCTCCGCTACATGGTTATAAGAAAATCTAGAAAGTTCTATTAACCTCTAGGATCTTTTAAGTTCCAGTCTTTAGAACATAATTTCAATTTGTGACACAAGGCACCAACATAACATAAAATACATTGCGAAAAAGCAACCAAAGTGCAGGACCAAACGAGACACAGAACATGTACCAACTACAAGTAAACACTGCCAACGAAAGGCTGAATTTATAGGATAATTACAGCTCAGAACACCCAAAACTACAGCCATATATCTACATTTTCAGGAATAAAAAATTGAATCTACAAAACAAAACCCCCAAAAACAAAAAGAAAAAAAAAAACCAAACGCAGAACCCCCTCATCAGTCGGCCCTATCTTCCCTCCATTTTGAGGTGGAACCCTCATCGTCGGTACGCGATCCGCCTGGACCACCTGATTTCTCTAATTGATCCACCAAATTGCCTTGGCTGATGATGCATCTCTTCATCACACTACCTCCTATCGATTTCTCCGATAGCGAAACCAATCCTCCCATGGCAGCAATGCTGCTTGCAACAGCACCAACATCACTGGCACCAATGTAAAGACCCCGGCTCCCAGTAGCAACAATGCTGTGTTTCTTCTCCTCTGTACTGGTCATAACAGACGGAAATACATCCATCAGCTGAGGGTTGGTCTGGCTAGAACTGATGAGCAGACGCAGAGTTTCTCTTGCACCCTTTTCAACAACAGAATCAGATTCTGGAATCAATGGATTCACAAGTTTTGGGTGTAACGGTGGAATGCTGGTCGAGATAGCAGGACCTGCACTCACAAGGTAGCCTTGGCCGGAGGAACAAACATCAATGACTGGAATATGAACAATAGGGTCACACATTAGAGGTGTGAATGTTAGGATCTGGGGTGAACTTGATCTAGATAGTGGCAACCTGACCAGTGGCTCAGGCAGCAACGTAGGAAAATCCATAGGGGGAAGATCAGACACATTAAGAGGTGATATTGGTGTCAACACACTAGAAGACCTTGTAGCTGGTAGTAAAGAAGAAAGTGGAGGTAGAGATAGTGATTCAGTGAATGACATAGGCAGTTGTGGAGGTTTTACTGTGTATTGAAAAGTTGATGCCATAGGAGGGCACCAACAATAATAGGGAGAAAAAAGGGATGAGTCCATTGAAGGTTCTTGAGATCCTGGGCATAAAAAGGGTGGTGTACCAGACTTGCCAAGTGATTCCAACAAATTTGGAGAGAATAAGCCCATTCCAGTAGCTTCTGGATGTTTATCCTTTCCAGAAAGATTTGAACCAGATGCATCCATGGTGCTTACTGGTGAAGAAGCAACAGGCAGGTTATCAACAACTGAAAATTGGATGTCCCCACGTCTCCTCAGCTTTTCTCGGGTAACACTTTTCAAGGAAGTTGAGTTTCTGAGAAGGCCCTCTTTAAAGGAACTTGATCTTGGACTGAGGCCGCCCTGATAGAGTGAATTACTCTTTCCTGCTTGACATCCAAAGTGTCGGGAACGCAAAGGCTTTGATGATGGGGACAAAAATTGAGCAGTCTGACAAAGCTCAGAAGAATCTGATAAGCTATCCAAGGAAAGGGTCGGAGCAGCAACCGAACTTGCCCGGGTGTTATTCACAGTAGACCCAGCAAGGTAAGCCCGGAGATGAGTCGCAAAACAGTCAAGGCGTGACTCACTAATTCCAGTCAGTTCAGCAAGAGAGGGCTTCCTCTTAAGTAGATCCTTCATCTATATCCCGGGGGAGGAGAGGGGAAACAAAGAAACATTAATGACCATCTGCTACATTCTGTACACATGATATAAGAATCCAGATCCTTCGCAGTGCACCCTGTAGTGCCCTAAAACGACATTGTTTTGGGTGGAAGGGAAACGGCAGGTTCATTTTGGGGGGGAAGGCGAAGAGGAACAGGGCGGGTTCTTTTTCTTCTTAAGTTTTGCTCCCAAAGCAATGTCATTTTGGGAGACTACAAGGGTACACTAAAGGCAATGAACTACAGAGGATCTAGATTCATGATATAAATGGTAATAATTGAAGTGCTCAGACATACCTTTCTAAGCAACTCATTCCCAAGGAGTATTGACTTCTCTGAGCACCAAAAATAGAAAACCTGACCATCTGGGATCTTCATCAGGAAAGACCGTCCAGACTTGTCTTCCGGTATTCCTTCAACTGTTACAGCACAGAATGGAGAATCACTACGAAAGGTTGATAATCTCTCTGTATGACCATCATCCCCAATGAATGAGATGCACAAATCAGATGTTGGCAAAAGCGAGAGATTCAAATTCCCCCTGTTACAATGTGGGAAAAGCCCAAAAAAGTTTAGAAGCAATAGAAAATAAAATGCACTTCAAAACAACATGCAACAGAAAGGAAATATGACACAAGTCAATGATAAGCATCTAAAACAGTGGTGTGTACAGTAAAATGATGATGACTATATTTAGAGCTCATTAAAAAGAGGCAACCAACGGAAATTTTAAATCATACTAGAAGTTGTGCAATATAATTTTAAGAGTTTGGAACTTTAAATCGCCCAGTATCCATTCTTTTGACGCATTCTAAAACTAGGCAGCTTAAGTATTACAAGTGATCCATATATACTAGTACCAACCACATCTCATCTCATGCACCTTCATAAGCAAAATGTAAATGTTTTGCCTACTTGTACACAAATGCTTCAATCACCATTTGTCAAAACCAACATATCTTAACTTCCATGAATGCTCAATTTACCAACTATGAATGTGAATCAAAACATCCTCCTGAAAGTGGCTTTCTACTTCCCCTTTGTTAAATACTGAACTCAAATATTTTATTAACTTTAAAAAGTCTCCCTATTTTAATAAGCCTGATGTGCCCCACCATGCTCCAATACACCCCAAGCCACTAGCTCCATGTCATCACATGATGTAATTTAAACTGTTGAAGATGCGCATCAATTTAACAATGATTTTCTCAAGATCTGACTCTGCAAAAGTGACTCTACATTCACCAGTGGTCCAAGTAAGATTCAATTCCAGTACTCAGGCAGCCATTTTTCATTTTTTTTTTTTTTAAAAAAAAAAAGGTACTTTGCTTCATAAATAACCAAACATGATCAATGCTTGTTGGAAAAAATAAAATAATAAAAATTTACAAGCCACAGAGATATTAACTAGAAGATTCTGTCACTTTCCTTTCATCTAATGCCATTCCTTTTGGATCAATACCATTCAATTTAGCTACTCCAAATGTATTAGTTACGGCAACCAACCAAGTTATGTTGAGTGGTAATGGGCCACTTAAGACAGATTTATCAATAAATAAACTTGCGTACAGCTTCAAGCTAGATAACAAGAATTCAGACAATCTAACAGAAGAACAGACAGTTCAAATCTCAGAAGATATATAATAATGAAAAGAAATATATATTATCCATAAAAAAATAAAAAATAAAAAAAAAAGAGATCAAATTTTATACAGCAAGAAGAAAATATAATTTTGAATGCAAAACACACGAAAGAGATATATTCCAAGAGAAAATAAGCACAAACAAAAAACGGCCTACTACATAAGAATGATATATCAATATGCACAAGCACAACAAAGACAAGAGCTTGCACAATCCATTGCTAAGTAGATAAATTGTTGACGTCATAACCAGGAGAAATAAGTAATCCAAACAAAAAGTAAACCATATAACATAGGAGCATGAAACTACCTTTACTTCTTAATTCAGAGATCATAATAGAATGCGCCCACTTTACCTACAAATAAAAAGATATATTTATTTGGAAGATGAACATTGCCACCATCAATTAATAAGTTAAAATACATAATCCTGCAATCTCTACTTGTCATCAATGATAGAATACAAGTACTATCCATACAGGAACCAAAAGAGATCCTCAAAACAATTACCGAATGATTCACAGATGAAATACCAAAACAAAATATACAAAAACTTTTGATTAAGTATACCGATTATTTCATACAATCAGACCTGCAATACAAGACCACTGTTGCAGTACATTTCAGTAACCCAATTAAAAATCAAGGTTCTTGGAAGTACTAGTGTCTTTCTTAACCAAAGATATATTCATTACAGCAGCCTTCATGGTGACTCCCCAAGACAAAATGCACCTCCTAGCTATGAAACAGTCTCATATCAAGATGCAGTGATCTAAGAACTGACCAGATAGAATCCAGCATGTAGTACCAGACATGAGATCGTTAAGTTGAACAAATACGTCTGCAATTCATGTACAAGACACTCAAATATGCACCTCAAACAAGTTTAGGCATTAAATAATGAATGGAGCTCCCTAGTGTTATAAAACCATTCCAACAATATGAAAACATAATCCAAATGAACACTAAAACAATTGCTAAAGAATCAAAATCTCTTATATCAACAATAAAAACACATATAAAATAATACACGGTTTGAAAAAAAAAACACACAAGGTCATTATAGAAAAGGAAACATAGTAAAAAACCTTATGTCATATGCCAGGATGTTGTGGCTATGATCATGACAAATCAATCGAAGAGAAACACATACATATTCACAAGCACGCAACCTCATAAAATAATGTCTACCCATCAAAACCAATAAAAGAATATACAGTCTCATAAAATGAAGCTTACAAATCCTGCAATAAATAGAAGCTCATATAATAAGCCATGTTAGAGCATCCGCATCAGCCTTAACAAATTTTGAGCAAAATTATAACCCAAAATTCACTTTCATATTTTAGTTAGCCTCTTTTTTATGTGCACACTCCATCAAACTCTCTATTTTAAAATTCTATTTCATTTATTTTTTATTCTTTTATCATTTTCAATTTAAATATATGATGGATTAGTCCCCCATCCCCCTCTCTTGCGCTCCCTCCTCCTTTCTCTCTCTCAAGCCCACTCGATGTTTGCTCCCAGACATTTAACTTCAACCAGCACTCTCAAGTCCATCAAGGCCATGACTACAACATCATCCTCTAGATTTCACAATCTTTGTCTCCCAGACATTTAACTTTAACCAGCACTCTCAAGTCCATCAAGTCCATCTCTTCCTCCTCTGCAGCTGCTACTACTACTGTCGATGACGAAGGTACTGTATACACCTCTGTGTGTGTTTTTTTTTTTTTTTTTTTTTGCGTTTTTGCGTGTGTGTGTGTGGTGATTATGACATTGAATTTGGATTGATAATGAATTTTTTTAGCTGTGATGATTACTGATTCATGATGTTTTAGTACCGAGGCTGATGGGGAAGAGAGAAAGGAGGGAGCAGAAGAGAGGTCGACCAGCCCGACGACCGGGCGGTCAATTGGTCAGGCCAATTTTTCACGGACATCTGGGAAGACATCCGGGTGGACGACCGACCATGGCTTTATGGCCAGCTTTGCTCCAAAAAATATAATAAAAAATAGATTACCATATGAACAGTGCCTCAACAAATCAGTTGAGGCACTGTAGCATTCACAAAATGCATGGAGTAGAGAGTCTGATAGAGCTAATATTCACAGCTTTTGCTCTCTACAATAGCTTCAAAGCCATTGTAGAGAGGCTGATGCAGATGCTCTTACAAAGTCTTGCGACAATTAATTAGATTTGTTAAAGATAGCAAAAGCTATTTTAAGTACCAAAGCATTAAGATTGCCCACAAGATTTAAACTAACACCAGAAGTCTTGCATCTAAAAAACCATCACATCAACTGCCTGTGCAGGATTATCACATACACTTGTTTACGATATTCGTCACAGATGGCTACCAAAAGGCGGCACCAATAGATAGCCAGACATTTGGTAAAGAAGTGCACAAATGTCCGCATAATACGTACAAACCATAAAATGCCCTTCATTTCAAAATCAATTCTGCTCCTAATTAGATCATAGGTACAAATCACCATCAAATGAACTACAAAAAAGATTGAACTTAGCAAATATAATGGTGGGATAATCATCATTGTCAAAATTAAATAAGTTTATACCCCTCTAGCCACACAGTTTTTTATTAGCTCCATAAGAAGCAAATTAAAAACATAGGGGCCAAATTATCTCAAAATCAACTAAAAATGAACATCTATCTATAAACTAGAAAATTTAATATTCTCCACCGTACTATGCCAATCACAGTGTAAAATGCTTCCCGTAACTCACTAAGGCTACAGTACCATCCTAGCAATATGGTTTTTTATTAGCACCATAAACATCCAGATATAAACTAGATAAAATTACTATTTTCCCAGGGCGAACCAATTAACAGGTCAAATGATAGCAGAAAAAAACCCAAACAAAACCAATAGCCATATCATCCTATAGAATTTAAGATACAAATAAAATCCACCAGATAGAATTTAAGTTGCAATATGCAACCTACCAACCATGCAGTTACACAAACCAGTATAGAATTATATGTAATTACCTTGTCCCAGTTGGGCACAAGAGAGTCCCTTGCTTGTTGATCTTCCCAACACGAATTGAAACAAGCGGAATGCACAAGCACCTAGCTAGCATACCAACTTCTGATGGCTCAAAGTGCTGTTCAATAATAAACATGAAATACGTAAGTTACTAATCAAATGAATTACAACCAAAAATACATATAATAGTTGACTACATCATTTCTACTAAATAAACCTAAAATCTTCCGCAGCAAATTTTGATAAGTTAGCAGTCAATTTATTTACAACAAAAATACCTAAAAAAGTATTGAGATGCATACTTAAGCTATACACGGGGGGGGAGGGGGAGGGGAGAGAGATGGGATTCTTGATTGATCTGAATACGTATGTACCTGACTTAGATGAGCCAACAGGCGATCTTCCGAAGCACCATTGGACATATTGAGCTTTAGCAAAGGCTTTAGCCGCTCATCGGCGCGACATGCCCCCATAACTTGCAAATCCAATGCCTGGAGAAACTGCATAACCCTATCTCCCGTATCGCTCTGTTGAAGCAACAGATCTCCATCCCCTTCGTCCACAAGTATATTTGTCAAGCGCTCCGTCAGCCCAACCCCGACACCACCAGAACCATCTCCATCTCTCGAACCTCCCGAATTCCCACATGTTCCGCTCCCGGAGGCCTCACCACTACTCGAATCATCAAAGCAATCATCGTTGGCTCGATCCACCCAATCCGCACCATCAGTCTCACGGTCATCAACAGATCGTTGCTTCTCAGAGTTAGCCATATTAAAATCTCCTCAAATTACTTGGAAATTGAAACAAGATCCGAAACCCTAAATATTCTCTCCCTGAAATCGCAATCAACTCGAGAAACCCCAGCCAATCAAGCCGACAGATTCTTCACACAATCGATCGGAAATCCAATAATTTGAGGATGAAACCAAAGAGATTACCCAATCGATTCAGAGACTCGCGATGAAGAGAGATGAGACAAGAGCGAGTCTCTACGGCTACAAACCACACGAGTTGAGGACACAAACGAAGAAGATAAAAAACCATCAAGGTGCTTGCTTATAAAGGGCAAAGGGAGACCCTACGGACCTCAAATCTGTTGTGAATTGCAGTTTTGTGGTCGGCTTGAGATCCGGATGGCACACGTCAGTTTACATCTCTGGGGTCCTACTTTTCTCTTCCCAGGGGACCACTAGGGACGTTGATTGATGTGTTCTTCAATACATCTCCACGGCCAAAATAATCAAATGACAGTGGGATCCATTATTTAATGTTCATTGGACTCTTTTATTAAAATTTTCAATCATTTTCCTTTAAATTTATATTTTCACATTAAATTAGACTTTTCTATTAAAATTTTCAATCATTTTTCTTTAAATTTATATTTTTAATTTAAATTTATGTCTTTTGTTAAATTTAAGAGTAATTTGAAATGTATTTATGTGTTTTGTTAAATTTAAGAGTAATTTGAAATGTTCTAAATAAATATAATTTTTTATTTTTTATATAAAAAAATGTGTGAAAAATAAAAAAATCAGTACAAAAGTAGAGAGAAAATACTGATTAATTTGATCCAAACATATATATGTATACAAAAAAAATACACTTTTTTAGTGCATGCCAAACACCTACTTAAATTTGATAAAAATATAATAAGAATGATATTTCAATCATTTTATTAAATTGATATTAAAATAAAATATATATTTTTTATTAAATTAAAAAAATGTTTAGCTTTTTTTTCAAATTTAATAAACGGTTGAAAATACTTTTAGGAAATTAATTTAATGGTCGGAGCTAATTCATTAGAGAAAGGGGTTGTTTGGGAAGAACTATATAAGTATATTTTTTGACTTTTTACGAAAAAATGTGCATTAAAATATTATATAAAATAGCAAAATTAGCGTATTACCCCTATGCCCTATACGTATTGACAGTGTTGATTAAAGGACCAGTACAGATTGCTTTGAAATGCGATGGTGCCTTCGGAACATATATATATATATATATATAGAATGAGGCTTCACGGGTACTGTTGAGCCCGTGGGGGCCTACTACGGGTCCCGTTTCAATAATTTGAACCAATCAATGTGTAGAACTCATCGAGTATTATATGCTTGTAAAAAATCACATTTATCGGATATCGATAGCTTTGTGATCAAATCAGTTTTGTATAAAAAAAAAATGGACGGTGAAAATAAACGGCTGACAAAAATTTGATTTGATCACATAGCTATCGATATCTTATCAACGTGATTTTTTACAATCATATAGTACTCGACGAGTTCTACACATTGAATCGTTCGGATTATCGAAACGGGACCCGTGGGTAGCCCCCACGAGTCCAACAATACCCTCCAATTTAATGAATATATATCTAATTTTTTTATAAGATATATGAAAAGTACCCCACGGGCCCACACGTGAGCTTGTACCATCACTGGACGGTACAATTTTGGCTTATATATATATATATATATATTATACTTTTTTAGTGAGTAGTGATAACTTTTTTGATTTTTTTAATAATTTTTTGATTTTTTGTCTTTTATACACTATGCGAAACAAGCACTAAGGCCAAGTTTGGTATGTCTTGAAAAAGACAAAAAGTTAAAAAGTTACTATCTTATTTAAGTCACATCATCTTATTTAAGTCACATCACCTCTCTAACACATCACTTCAAACCCAACCCAAACCCAACCCATATTTCATAAAAAGTCAAAAAGTGTACTTATTTAGATCATCCCAAACAACTCCTAAACTAACAAAAAATCTAAAAAGTCAAAAAGTCAACCCACTTTCCAAACGAAGTAACACAAAGAATAGATAGATCACAATTGAACACATTGAGAAATGGGTTCTTAAAAAAAAAAAAAACAAAACAAAACAAAACAACACACATTTAGCAATAGGTTAGGGTGTGTTTGGTAACGTTTACGTTTTCAGTTTATATTTATAAAAAATTTAAAAACTGATTTTTGTTTATTTTTTGTTCATTTTTAGAAAAACATAAATTACAAACGCGTTTGGTAATTGACAAAATGTTTAAAAAAATTAAAAAATATAAAAAAAGAGTGAGAAATGGCAAGTGGTGGCAAGTGGCGGTGGACAAGTGTGACGTATCGTGTGTGTGGTGGTGAGGGTGGGGATGTGGGGCGGTAGCTGGGTGGTGGGCGGCTGGGTAGCGGATGGGGCGGGTGGGAGTAGTGGGTGGTGGGGGGTAATGGTGGGTGACGGTGGCGGGTGGGGTCGGCCTGGGGCTGGATGCGGGGTATAGGTGGTGGTGAGTAGGTGTGTTGTGAATGGTGGTGGGGTGGTGCAGGTAAGGTGGTAGCGAGTAGGTGGTGTGGTGGGTGGGTGGAAGGTGGGTGGCGGATGCGGTAGGTGACGGGTCAGTGTAGGGGGTTCGGTGGTGGTGGGTGGGTGACGGTCGGCGGTGGTAGGTAGAGGGAAGTGGGGGAGGGTGTGGCAGTGGTGGTAGGACCCCCTGGTGATGGTGTGGTGGTGGTGATGGTGGGGTGAACGGGTGTCGTGGCGGTGCTGGTAGTGATGGGTGGTGGGTTTGCAGGTGGGCTTGTGGTGAGTAGTGTAGGCAAGTCGGTGGGTGGTGCGGCAGTGGACTGTACCTTCTCACGGCGGGTGGGGTGGTCGGGGGATGGCTGGTGGGTAGTGGGTGGGGGGTGGTGGGGTGGTGGGGCCGAGTAAGGGCAAGTGGGATGAGGTGGAATGGTGGTGACGGGTAGGGTGTTTCGGTGGCGGTGGGGTGAGTTGGTGCAAGTGGGTGAGGGGGTGGGTTGTGTGGCTCGGAAGACATAATGGTGGAAAATGTGACGGTGGTGCCTAGTGTTGGGTGGTAAAAAAAAAAAAAACTCAAAACTCAAAACAGAAACACATTTTTTGTGTTTTCATTTTTTGGCCAAATTTATAAACTGAGACCACCGATTTATAAATCAAAAATTTTACCAAACAAGTTTTTATTTCAATTTTTTAAATTTTTGTAAATATAAATAGAAAACTGAAAACGTAAGTGTTACCAAACGGCACTTTAGAGTCTCAAATTTTTTAACGATAGATGACATGGCATAACTTCATTGGCTAGTCCACCTACATTAAATGCAAGTGGGAAACAACAAAGCAGGGCTTAACATATGCAACTTATCGTACGCCTTGTTGTGTATGTAGACTATTATCAAATGCCAATTCAATTCCTATTTCCATTTCCACCCGAACCAGCCTAACGACAACCCTATATATATATATATATATGAATGTATGTATTGATTTTGTGCGCTCTCTCTCTCTCTCTCTCTCTCTCGAACTAATTGAATCTTCAAGGTACTTTATTTGATTTTTGCTTTCGAATCTTTAATCAATTTATGTTTTTTTTTTTATTTTAATTATGCTATGTATCAATCTTTGATGCAATCTGTTCGTTGTTTTTTTTTTTTAGAATTCATGTTCAATTTGATGTGTTGTTAAATTATAAATATTTGTTTATGTTCAGCTGTTTTTTTTCGTTGGATTTCGTGGGGGGTTCGTGTCTGGATCTGTAGTGATTGAGCTCTGAGTAAGTTGATTAATCTCTTTTTTATTGCTTTGATTTGCTTCGTTTTTATTTTTTTTATTTTTTTTCGGTCATAGTTCATTTTCCGTTTGGTTGGTGAGAAAAGGAAATAAGAAAATTCAATGAGATTTCGTAATTTATGTGTTTTTTCACTAGAAGAGTAGGCTCAATTACCACTTTTACAATTAATTAAGTCAAGTGATATTCCTTCGTAATTTGGTTCCAGAAAATATAAATTGAAACGTTTTTTCTTTATTTTCTCAACAACCAAACAGTCAAGTTTGAGCTTTTCTTAGCTCAGACACAAATTTAATCATGTCTTGTTCATTGATTCAATCAAATCTGCTAAATTGCTATCTTTGGCGATGAATTCTTCAGTTATTGATCTAAATTTTCTGCCAACTCTTCATACACTATTATTTTGGGTGGTTATTTGGCCTTTCATTTTGGACTTTAAACTAAATATATAAAGATTCTGCTTAGATTTTCTTTTACCTATCTATATTTTGGTCAGATTCATGTTGTCTGTTTCTGATTTGAATTTGATCAGCTTTGGAAATAAATGTTTCTTTTAAATTTCACATGTAGCACTCAATTAATTGTTTAACAGTTTTTTTAAAATCTGTATAATTTTTTCTCCTTATTCTCTAATGTTCATTTCATGAAAACTTTATTAATGTAAATGTGTAATTGTTTTGATTTTCCTTTATTACTATGATTGTAATGAAATTATGATCATTTATTGAAACAGATTTATATAATGAAATTATGATCATCTATATAATGAAACATATTTATTGACTAAGTATTATTGATGTGTGAATTTATTTCATTAGCACAGATTTTTACGAATCAACAATTAAGAAACAGAAATGATTAAGAAACAGAAATTAAAATATTTTATATAATGAAATTATGATAATTTATTGAAACTGATTTATATATTGAAATTATGATCATCTATATAAGAAAACAGATTTATTGACTTTGTATTAATTTTAGCATTTTTAATTAATTTGCAATGAGGTTTTATGACATCATATGTTGTCATTAATTTTTTATAAAATATTATGTGATATGTGTTATTTTTTGATTGATTTAATTACAGTGTTATGTCACGAATTTAAATAGAGTTTTATAAAGTTTGTAAACTTTTAATTAAATTATGGTGGTGATTTTGAGTAATTATCAATGGATCTCTTGTGGGGTATTATTTCGAAAAGTATATTTCATGTGTAAAAATTCTCGATTTTGGTTTAATACAAAATGCATATGTTACCCAAAAAGCAACCTAAGAGGGGGGTGAATTAGGTTTCTACAATTAAAATTAATAATACTCCAATAAAATTAACTACTAGTACAACAAATTATTAACAAGCACAATGATGAACTTAGCAGTAAATGATCAAGCAAAATAACAATGAAGTATAACTAACATACATAGTAAATCAAATGATAAGCACATGAATATTAGATATATATAGCAGTAGTAGGAAAGTAAAGAGATTAGGGAAAAGGAGACAAACAGATTTATAGTGGTTCGGCTTCAACCAAGCCTGCATCCACCCCTCAAGCTTCACTTGAGATTTTTCACTATCTCCTAACTTCACAGTGTGCTAACAACCTTTTCAGAGATAGAGCAATTCTCCACAGATTTTACATAAACTTTCTAAGTCAAGAACGCTGAGTGTACTACACTCTTACAAGGTTAAAAAGATGTGTTTTTGCTTTCACAGAAAGCTACAATAATTATTTCTCAAATATAGATATAAAAATGAAGCTCTGATTTTTCTGTAAACCTAACACAGGAAAGATGAGCTTAATGCTATAAGGCTTAGTGTATAATTTCTTAGAGAGGATGTAAACAAAAATTGAAGAACACTTCTCAGAGAATTTTTCAGAGAATAGATATGAGTGATTATAGATCAAAGAATATTTTCTAGTTTTTTTTTTTTTTTAACTTGTTTACATTAGAGGTTTTGGTATATATAATGAAACTTATAGCCATTGTATTCATTTGAATTTATAGTCGTTGTACTCCATCATTACTAATTTGAATATCTTCCACTCCATCATTACAAATTTGAATATCTTCCACTTGAACCTTTTGGTCTGTTGTTGTACTGGGTTGTTTGAACCTTTGTTTTGGGCTGTTTGAACTCCTAACTTAATTAAATATTAAATACATTCTAACAACATTTAAGATAAAGGTTTAGGTGAGAAATAATGGGATAAAATAAATTTTGATTCTATTTTTCTCTTTCAAATAAATCATCAAAATAAATTTTGATTCTATTTTTTTTTCAAATAAATTAAAATATAATTAAATAAATCATCAAAATAAATTTTGGATTCTATTTTTCTCTTTCAAATAAATTAAAACATAATTAAATAAATAAGTCTAACAGCATATATATTAAAATCTGTTGTGTATTGTTTTTACCGGAAGGTGTGTTTGAATATGATTCTACTTCGTGTTAAATTTTTATTACAATCTATCTAATCTTGTTTTATTCGCTATTGCAGAAATGATTAGGAAACAACAATCTATCTAATCTTGTTTTATTCGCTACTGCAAAATTGTTATTACAATGTATCTAATCTTGTTTTACAAATCAACAATTAGGAAATAGAAATGATTAGAAAATAGAAATTAAAATATTCTATATAATGAAATTATGATCATTTATTGAAACATATTTATATAATGAAATTATGATCATCTATATAAGGAAACACAGATCATCTATATAATGAAACATATTTATGGACTCTATATTATTGATGTGTGAATTTATTTCATTAGCACAGATTTTTACGAATCAACAACTAGGAAGCAAAAATGATTAGGAAACTGAAATTAAAATATTCTATATAATGAAATTAAGATAATTTATTGAAACAAATTTATATAATGAAATTGTGATAATCTATATAAGGAAATAGATTTATTGACATTGTATTAATTTTAGCATTTTTAATTAATTTGCAATGAGGTTTTATGACAATCAGGTAAATGAGTTTCTTGACTACGACAACATCACGGCGAAATGGATTCAAGTGGGGAAAATGTGGAGAGCGAGGACAGTAAGGACAGCGAAGACAGTCCTGACAGCGCTAATAGCAAGGATAGTGAAGACAGTAGTGCAGAGCAGTTGAGGTCGTCATTTATTGCATCAGACGACGATGACATGGACTTTGCCATGGTATGCCAGATATTCGAATCAAGCAATGGAATTCCGAGAAAGTAGCCCAACGGACATGTCCGTACACTGAAGAAATGTATACTCAACATTTATTGAACGGTCATCCACGCACAATTCGGGAGATCTTGCGGATGGATGCGCCAACGTTCAGGTCCCTTTGTATTGAATTGAAACACAGAGAGTTCATAAAGGCAGACAAGAACAGGTTATATGTGGAGCAATCACGCGCTATAATTTTATATGTATGTGGACATAGTGAACGACATAGACTTGCAGCTGATCGTTTTCAACACTCAACGGAAACTATTCACCGACATTTCAAAATGATGATAAGAGCATTGTGTCATCTTGTCGTCCTTATCATCCAACCTCCTGACCCGAATGTCATTCCTCTAGAAAATTACTGTTCTGCAGGCCTTCGGTAATCTCGGATTACTGGCCGGTTACGGTGCTAAACCCATAGGGCCGGGTTTGGGTCGTGACAAGTTTATGACGAGTATTATTTCAAATTCGGGTGTGGACAAATGTAATGCTCATCATATTTGCGTAATGTATGACTGTATTGGGGCAATCGATGGCACGCACATTGCACCGCATGCACCTGCTACAAAGAGAACTGCATATCGTGGTAGGAAGGTTGAAATAACACAAAACGTTCTTGCAGCAGGCTTGTTCGACATGAAATTCACTTTTGTTTATCCCGGTTGGGAAGGTAGTGCAACTGATTCACGAGTGTTATTCGATGCGCTTACACGTCCCGATGTATCCTTCCCGCTCCCTCCTACGGGTAAGGCTTTTGCTTCTTTACTCACGACGCTTTCTAAGCATTACTTCAAAATAGTTTATAATAAACTTGTGTTAATGTGACATACTGATGTAGGTAAATATTACTTGGTCGATGCGGGTTACACAAATATGATGGGATTCCTTGCACCATATCGTTTAGAACGCTATCACTTGGAACAATTTCGTGGACGTCGACATCGACGTCGTCCAAATGGGTATAAGGAATTGTTTAATTATAGACATTCATCGCTAAGAAATGTGATAGAACAATGCTTTGGGGTGTTGAAGAATCGTTTTCCTATATTGAAATCTATGCTGAACTACATGCAAGTGCGACAAGGCATAATAGTTAAAGCATGTTGTGCTTGTCACAACTGGATTCGCATGCACTTCGCAAATGATCCATGGTTCAATAGGTGTGCAAGGTGTGGTAATGCACATGCGAGGCAAGCAACACCTCCAACTCCTGTGGTAGGAAATTCCAATACGAAAGATGAAATCATGAACGAAATGATTCAATTTCATGATGAAATTGCAACAGCAATGTGGAACAACCATAGGGTCCATCCATAGTACCACGTTAAACTTGTCATTTGTATTCTTAACTTGTATTATCTTTTGTCGTAGAAATTATGTAAGACCTATGACACATACTGTTACATGATGCTTGTTTCAATTATGTGTTACAGTAAAACACATGGATATATGTAATAACCCTTCTTGATGTTTGTGCCTTGAATATTGTAAGTTATTTGTACGCGTAAGTGTAAATTTTGGTTATGAAAGTTCAGTACAAAATTTGGTTCTAATTTTCATAATCATAGCAAAAAAAATTTCACACATATTCCTTTTATGTGGTCATGTAATTTTCATAATTTTGAAAAAAATTTATACAGTATAACAAAAAATGAATAATGAACCAACCTTTTGTATTAACAAATCGTTGTAGTATTTAGTGTTTTAATGAGCTAAAAAACATTATGGTAATATTTTTAAACATATAATTACAATTTTAAACGTAAAGTAAAATTTAAGTACATAGGCAACAGTTAATGAAAATGGATTGCAAATAAAAAAATATGTAACAAATCTCTGATAAAGAATGCATTATTGCAAAGTGAAGTTTCCGTTCAATTTAAGGAAAGAGACAATTTTGCAAAAAAAAATAAAAAAATTGCCACATCAAAACGTACTCTCATCTTAGTTTTATATTATATATATATATATATATATGTATATGTACATATATATAAAAATGAAAACATAATTTGTGTTTTTAGCCATTTATAGATACATATCTTACCATTAACATAAAATTTGCATTCATTTCAACCATAGGAAACGTAAAAAAAAATTCCAAGTTTGTATTAAAAAATTTCTTTTGTAGCATTAAATTTTCATAAATGTTTGAAAAAAATTGAGTAAATCGGAAATTTAAACATAATTCGACGATTTTGAAAATAAATTTGTAAACAAATTTACGATTATGCAAACAAATTTAAACATAAATTCACAATGTTTTTTAAAGCCAATTTGAAAAACTTGGCCGTTGTTCTCAAATTTACATTTTTCGAAAATTTGTTCATAAATTTACCTTTTAACCCAAATTTGTGAAAATTTACACGTTCCACAAATTTGTAAATTCCAAAAATTTGTAAACAAATTTGCAAAAATTATGATTTTTTTTAATGCGAATTTGTGAATAAATTTTCTACATAACATTTATTAAAATTTAATTCTACGAAAGAAATTTTTTAATGCCAATTTGGAAAAAAAAAATTTACATTTTATGTGATTCAATGGAGTGAAAATTTTATGATAAAATCACACAATTAATGGTAAGATATGTACCCATAAATACATACATACCAAATTATGTTTTCATACACGTCTAGCATGTACATATATATATAATTTACATGAGAGTATTTTTTGATGTCACAATTTTTTTTTTTAAATTGGCTCTCTTCTTAAAATGGAGGAAAACTTGAAAATGCAATGATGTATTTTTTGGAAAACCAAACAATGATTCTTTTTCAAAAAAGAGTTTCAAATCACTTTTTGGAAAAAAAAATTCAAAAAAATGGAACCAAACAAAGTGAATATGTCCTACTTTTGAGATTTATTACCCATTAAGTCTTATTAATAAATTTATCAAATTTATCAGTTTCTCTTGTTTTTATGAATAAATTTATAGTAATAAATTTATCAATAAAGACTTGTAGATAAATAAATTTAATTAATAGGATTGATTGGTAAATGCTCCTTCAAATAAATGATAAAAAAAAATTTAAATAATATGAAAATATATAAGCGTTTGATAACGTTTACGTTTTTTGTTTATGTTTACAAAATTTTTATAAACTGGTTTTTGTTTATTTTTAGAAAAACATAAATTATAAACGCGTTTGGTTTGAAGAAAATGTTTAAAAAAATTTAAAAACATAAACTAAAAAATATGTTTGCTCAGGCCTAAAATATTTTTATTTATTTTTATTATTTATGACAATGGGATCACACACATTATAATTGAACAAAATTAATTAGAAAAAAAAATTTGAAAAAAAATGTAATTGAAAAAAAAAAATTAATTAAAGAAATAATTGAAAAAAAATTTAATTGGAAAAAAATATTTGAAAAAAAATTATTTGAATAAAAAAAATAATTGAAAAAAAAATTAATTGAAAAAAAATTTAATTGGGAAAAAAATAATTGAAAAAAAATTATTTGAAAAAAAAATTATTTGAAAAAAAAATAATTGAAAATATATTATTTGAAAAAAAAATTAATTGAAAAAAAAAATTGAAAATTGAAAACTGAAAACGTAAACTCATTTTTTCAGTTTACGTTTTTTTCTCAAATTTATAAACTGAGACAACCATTTATAAACTAAAAAAATTATCAAACAAGTTTTTATGATAGTTTTTTTTAATTTTTTAAAATATAAACTGAAAACTGAAAACGGAATGATTACCAAACAGGCCCGTATATTGCTCAAATGTTAAGAGTTTTATTTCTTAAACTTAAGGTTTCGAAGATGATGCATTTTTTATTTTTTATCTTTGGTTATAAATATAGAAATAAGAACACATTTTCAAAGGAGTAGACATGGATGTCAAGTTTAGCCTTCACTTAATATAAGAATATACATATAAATAGTATAAATTATATTAATTTTTTTTTAATAATTTTGAAATTATGTAAGATACATTATTATAATCAATCTGCCTTCCTATTTTTCAATTTTGTGGTGGTTTTGTGAAGGCACATGTAGTTATGTAATGTTGGGAGGCTCAAATATGAAATTTAGAAATAAAAGGAAATTTCTGGGATACAAAATCGATTCGTTTAAACACTAAATTAAATATTCAAATTTTCTTAAAAAATAGTAAAAATTCTAATTTGAATGTTTGAACAGTGGAATTCACACACAATAGTGATTTGCATTCATTGGGCTTCGGATTGATTATGGATGTTTTGAACTTGATTCATTAATCTTAGAAAATTATTATAAAATTATCGTTTTACTATTAAACAGTCAAACTATTTCATAAGCTTATTATCAATCTGTTGGCACCATAAACTATTATTATTATTCTTATTATTATTATTATTATTATTATTATTATTTTAAGACACGTGTCATCCTCTTATTCATTTGGAAGTTAAAAGAAGTTATGGAGATGATGGAGAATATGAAGACAAAGTGGATGAGTGGAAGGACACATAGCAAGACAAGAACGAATATGGAAGAAATGGGTAATTACTAAATAGTTATTGCTGTATTTTTTCCTCTATAAATAGCCATTAATGGCTACATTGTAAGGATCCAGAATTCAAATCAAAGATAATTGATTTCAATATTTCTTGTCATTTTTCTTATCTTAGGAGTAGTTTAACATAGATTTATATTTTGAAACATTTATTTTCAGTATTTCCTTTTCGAAGCATTTTATGCACTTCATTTTCGAAGCATAGGAGTAGAGGTAAGTAATTATTAGGGCTGAGTAAGAAATCCGTGAAATCCGTAATCCGATCCAGTCCAGTCCAATCCAGTAGGTTTGAATTGGGTTTTTGAATCCGTGGTTCGGTTCCGGATTGAAAAATTAAAAATCCGCAGTTCACGGATTGGTTCCGGATTGAACCCCACGGTTCCAGATTGGAACCGATCCGGACCGTATACAAATAGTCTATATTTTTATTATACTCTCTTACATAGTATCTTTTCTTATTTCATATAAAACTTAAATCCAAACCTAAACTCGCATAGTATCTTCTTTTATTACTTTTGTTTGCTAGTTTTTAATGTTAATTTGTAATGGTCTAAATGCTTATGGTAGAACCAGTTTTCTTATGGTTGTTTAAATTTTAGAATAGTATGCCGCTATTATGAAAAGACATGTTACTATTGTTAAACTAATATGGTGCTATATTTATATTTTTATGAAATTAAAGTGTTATATATATATATATATATATATTTTGTTATTTAATTATGTAAATCCGTGGTCCTAAACCGATCCAATCCGTATTTAAATGGATTGGTCCGGATTGGTTCCACGATTTAAACGGATTGGATTGGTTCCAATTTTTCAGGAACCGTAGATAACGGATTGGTCCTGGTTTTACCCCAATCCGGTCCAATCCGGACCATGCTCACCCCTAGTAATTATTACTTTGATTGTTCACTCAATCGTCTTTCTCCGTCTCCCTCATTCTTCTTTTAATTTTTCTTTTCTCTACACTTGGCAATTTTTAAGTCCTCTTTGTTGAGGCAAAAGAGCCGTTAACGCAACCGCTTGATAATTGGCTAGAATTTAATCTATAAGGATTTTTCAATCCTTGCTGGCACACTCGCATTTATGATATTTTCCTTCGTAGGAAAAATAAGCCAACAATTTTTGGCACGCCCAGTGGGACGTCAAGTGTAAGAAATGAAAAATGAATTGAATTTGTTCATTTCAAATAGCCTAGATGAAATCTATTGGCGTAAACAAAAAATTTTGGATTTTCAAGAAGAGATCCATTTTCTTGATGAAATAAACTTTCATCCCTTACAATATTATTTGGTGGAAGAAAAAAAAACATCATTTAATTGGAGAAATTCATCAAATTGATATGAAAATTCGCCAATGGAATGATGAGTTATCAACTCTCACTACCAAGTCTTTAACTGAGACTTTAATGGCCGGAATTGGTGAATTTTTTCAAAAAAATTTCATGGTTAAAAATAGCAAAAGCAAAGAGTTGATTTCATTAATAGCTCGGGGGTTCAAGAGCCCGTTTTTAAAGAGCCAAATTATGAAATTAACATAACGAAAGAGCATGTTCTTGAGCCAAATTTGGCTAAGAATAATGTTCCATACATGGCTCGGGGTTCCAAAAACAAATTTTTAGAGGATCAAGTCATGAAAACAACATATCTATGGGTGATTTTCATAAGCCATTAATGGCTAACTTGGAAAAACAACCCACTTTGCCAAATAATTACGAAAATCAATACGGCGAAAGTCTTGTTTTTAAAACAAACATGGTCAAGAATAATGAATAAGCCACTGTTCATGAATTTAAAA